TTGATCTTATGGTTAGGCTACCGCAGAAACAGAAAAATCATTGATATAGAAATAGAAAAATACTTATATCCCCCAAAAAAGATGAAAAAAAATGTATATAGAAAAGCCAACAAATATGTACATCAGCTAGCTTTACTAGTCCTTTTTTCTGATATCAAGATGAACGTTCATTTCAATGTCACTTTCCTAAGCATGATACAAGAACAGCATAGACACCACTGCGAACTGAAATACTTAAATTCCAATGTCACTCTCAGGCAGGGAACAACAACCACATTGATTCTACAGTAAAATTAATCCAAGCATAGACATGACCAGCACTCCAACACCCGGCGAAGCAACCTAGATTGTGACATTGTGTCATCCCTGTAGGCAAGGTGATCCAACACCCCGCTATTGAAATCTCGGTCACTTTGAATTAAGAATGTTGATCTGATTATGCCTCCATCCAATCTGAAAAAAAACAAGACAAGAGGTTAGACACCCGAGAAGAATTTTGGTTTGAATCTGTACACACATTTCAGAGTTTATACGAGCTAAAAAGGAACAAGTTATAGCTCTTATATTTGTAAAGATGAATATCACAAGCACAAGCAGAAGAGCAATTATCCCATCGGTAAGATTGATCTCAGCTGGATATGAAATATGTGACCAGAAAAAGACTGACTTGCTTTCGTGTGTTTAGCACTGTAATTTGCAATGCAACTCGGTACGCATAGCCAGACAGAGGCATCTTAAGCATAAAAAACAAATAGAAAAGAGAGCCCTGGAAATATTATGTCATGCTAAATTGGCAGTTTCCCGTTGATTGCTTCATATATTTCCTATTCGAGGAACAGCTCTGCCTTATTCATTAAGAAGGAGAATCAACCAGTTAATAAGGAAAACTAGCTAAAACTGTTTCATTAAGGAGAATCAACCAGTTAATAAGGAAAATTGGCCAAAACTGAAACAACAACAATGCACATACAGACCTGAGGCCATGCAACAGGCGAGCCGTCGACTCCGTCACCTGAGCAACCCGAGCCGACACCCTACAACCCTATCTGAAGCCGATGCTTCGGCATCCACGCCGGCCCCGAGGCCACGCGCCATGTAAGTCGCCTACTCTGACACTCGAGCAACGAGAGCTAAAACCCTACAACTATCTCCGGAGCCGCCGCTCCGACTTGCAAATGCAAGCAAAACACATGCCGACCGCGAGACCACGCACCACGCAAGTCGCTGACACCGTCACCCAAGCAACCGAAGCCGACACCCTACAACCCTATCTGAAGCCGCCGCTCCGGCATCCACACCGACCCCGAGGCCACACGCCATGTAAGTCGCCTGCTCCGTCACCCAAGCAACCAGAGCTAACACCCTACAACCATCTCGGAACCGCCGGTCCGACTTACAAATGCAAGCACAACACACGCCGACCGCGAGGCCGCGCACTAGGTGAGCCGCTGCTGCGTCACTCGAGCAACCAAAGTCGACATCCTACAACCATCTCCAGAGCCGCTGCTTCGACATCCACGCCGACCCCAAGGCTGCGCACCAGGCTGGCCAACGATACTGTCAACCAAATGAACAGTGTCGACACCCTTCCATGACGACTAGATCCAGAGCCGCTGCTCCGACTTCCACACTAGCCCCGAGGCCGTACACAACACACCTCGATGGCTCGACCACGTCATTTGTCACGCATGGCAACATCACATGGCAGAGGCACGTCTAGCTAGGGCATGGCGTCCAAAGGCGACGCCTCCAAGGGGAAAGTGACGAGGACGCCATCATCGCCCGCACCGGTACCAGGAACTCGACCTTCAGCTGGAGGAACCAAAAACGAAGAAGGTAGGAGATGAGCCTAAGCACCCAAGACGACGCCTCGACAAGAGGGGAACCACACCCACGGGTGCCATTGTCGTTGGCACCAACCAAGGCAGAGCGAGGCTTTCACCCGAGGCTCTGGCACTCCCACAACCGCCACCACTGCCCACCTCTGCACGGAGCACCTACTGTGGCACCTCATACCACGGTAGGCACCGCCACGCCAACAATCACAAACCTGAGTCCGCCGCCTCAGCATCCATGCGCCACCGGCAGCTACACTGCACGCAGAGCCGAGCAACACCACAACAACCTCGACGTGAGCACATCCCCGCACCATCCAGCGGCCACAGCTAGCTCTGCCCAAAACCATGCAGCAAAGCGCTGCCTGAGGGGGCAGGACACAAACATGCAAATCTGGAGTCCCAGCGCCCCGCGCAGTCCGGTCGCCAGGAGCCCACACGCAGCCGCACCTCAAACGCCTGAAGACCGCCAACCTGCGACTTCCAATCGCCTCCAGATCCGGCGAGCAACTGAGCAACTGCTCACCGGCCCCACAGCCCCCGTTGCATGGCCACCAACCACCCGCCGGAGAGGGGCTCCACCACCATGGCACGAGGATGCCGCCCCAGCCTTCATGTGTCGACGAGCAGGCCACCACCGCCCCAGCCGCGACATCAACACTCAGACGCTGCCAGAATCTCCCACGTCACCTTTGGCAGCTGGCCCGCCGCCGCCACGGCTAGGTGTCGCCATGGGGTGTGATACTGGGGGGTTCTTGTTTTTCATATATTTCCTTATTCTAGTAATAGACTACTATATTAGGTCGGTTTCATTAAAAAAATCTAACTTAGGCCACGGAAGGAAGATACCACCGAGGAGTCTTTGTTAGTCACAATCCACAGATGATAGATGTGAAGTCTACAACTAATCTTATGAGGCTGATTCAATCAAACGGCTTGTGAGCACATGTTGTTCTTGCTATTCAGAGCAGCCGCTCAAACTGTTATTTGCGATCTAGGTTTTGCGTCATTGTAGATGAGCAAAAGCAAAAATAAATAAAAAGTCCAATGACATGCTGCAATAGTGTTTGTCAAGTGTTGGGTTGGTTGCTAGTTCTGTCACAGAAGTCTTGCCATTTATAAGATCTACTTCCTCTGTCCTAAAATAAGTGTTGTGGCTTTAGTTCAAATTTGAACTAAAACCACACTTATTTAGGGACAGATGGAGTATTAATTATTAAACAGGATAGACGAAATCCATGACGTTATTCCACAAAAGAAAAGTTATCTAATGTGTTGCAGTATATTTTTTTGGCCAAGATTCAAAAAATTAATGTACCTAATGTATGCAAACACCTAATATCAGCATATATGTTTGAAACAAAAACGGAAAGCCGATACATGCATGCCTTGATATCTATACATGCTAATGGAAGATGCAAGCAATTAAGATGGACTAACTCGCTAAACTACTGCACCACAGTTCACTGTATGAGTGTTCTCCAACTTCAGATATGTTTCTCTTTCGGTCCGGCAGACCAAGGCGTGCACTGCGCACTGCTATATGACAGATTGAAAACACAACATCCATGCCTGGAGTTTATTTTCTATCTTATATGTGAAGTTAGGAAAAAAGAAATATAGCAATTTGGTTTCCATAGGAACTCCATATGAAGTCCAACTAGAGTGAGTGTGATCGAATGTTTACAGTTAGTACGGATTGAGATAGAAAAATGACACCAGAAATTAGAGTAGGATTAAAACATATATAGAAATAACATTCAAGTAAGTGAAAAAAAACATCAACCAATTCAGATTCAGATACAAGCAATAATTGTGTAGGTTTAGCTCTTGGTGAAACAATTAAAAATTTGTTGATTGAAAGGTAGACACCAACGTATGGTGGAGTGGATGGGAGCAAAATATAGATTATTTGGATTGAAGCCTAATCACATTAGTTAACTTTATGCTCAAAATATGGGTCACGTCAAAACCATGCATTGATGTATACTCCTACATATGCAAGACAAAACAGAGATAAGGCCGGCGGCTAATCAGGTCCTAGTGAACCCTGTAAACATAATAAACATAGATGACAAGGCTCACACTGTCATAGAGAAACATCTTCTTAAATTGTAGCCATGTTGGCACCATAGTCTCACAAATGATGATCACAACTATTAAACTTCAGTCTCACGTACTTAATTAGGCAAGGAGTAGCCACGTGATTAGTTGAAAGGAAGCACAACGAAGGCACGAGTCATGAGCACTTTTATGTGCAACATCTAAACTTCACTTTTATGTGTTTAGCAGTGTAATTTGCAATGCAAAGCTGGAATACATAGCCCGACAGAGGCATGTAAACATAAGTAAATGAGTCCGGTAAAACTTAGATCATGCAAAAAAAAAAGGTAGATTTGTGTTGCAGCCTTGAAGGGCTCTGTATACTACATAGTAGTCTAACAAACTTTTAACCTAGGTCAATTTCAAAAAAACACTTAAAACTTATGTCGCTGTAAGGAAAAAAAATCAAGAGTTCTTGCCACAACCGACAAATTTTGCATGCTTATATTTGACGTTCACTGGGAGACTCGGAAAGAGGCACGGGAAATAGTTCAAACTATCTTAAAATGGAAACAAAAAGAAAAACTGGGTGCCCCCGCCCTTATGAGGCTGATACAGAGTAGTGAGTCTCTTATTTGTGACCACAATAGTTATTCAATTGAAGATATTATATATGTGAAGATGCCTCAAAATATAAAAAATCTTTTCTGCCTCCTTATGATTATATATAAAAGAAGCAGACAAGATGAGTCGTGCTTGAATGGAATGAATTTGCGTGAGCTGAGTGGAACAATGAAATGAAAATTGGATCTACACCAATATTCCTTCTACACCTTGACCATAAAGTACTCCTGTACAATAATTGTTCTATCATTTTTGTGATTTCATGAGGCCTAAATAACAGTGAATGCATAAGCTATGTGAAAAATCTTCTCTTTTCCGATTTTATCCGGAAAGTGATTAGAACAAATCAAACAACAAATCACAATTAAATTATTGTGATTGATTAGTTTTCCCACAAGCACAAGTTAAATAACCACAACTGAAGTGTATAAACATTAGACAAGCTGTGTGCTAACTATGAAGGGGAGGACATAAGGAAGCAATAGAAAGTTTACCACTTCATATTGTCGGTGCAGACAACAAGGATGGTGGGAAGCTGGTATATATGCGTGCGCTGGCCAAGCTAAACCCGAATGATACACCGCAAACCCTTTCAAGCTGCAACGTCTTGACGTCCATTGAGACATATCCCACCTCTAGCATCTCCGGAGATGACCTTATGGACTGCAGGGGTCCAATCTTTCTTAGGAGCAAGTACCTCCCGGTTGAATCTTGGATATAGTACGGATAATCAGAAGGTAGTGAGATTGTCTTCTTGATCTTCCACTGGCTAGAACTCTCACCTTTGTTTCCTCTAATGTAATAACGGAGATCATTATGGATATCAAACATGCCAATCATGTCTTCTCCTGCCTCCACAATGGCTAGACCGAACATGTTTGATGTTTCGTGTGGGACGTCGACAATGGAGAACTCCATCCTCCGCGTGTCAAACACGAGCAACTTCTTATTCATTGTGGACTCCAAATAAAAGCAGCCATAAGCGTAATGGCGCCCGACAAACTTAGGGTGCATAGATGACATCATGGCTGACTCTCCCTGGTAGGGGAACAAATCACTCCAACCCTTGGATGCAGCAACTCGCCATTGTCTGGTGCTCGAAGAGAAGACGAAGGCAGCCACACCAGTTTCACAATGTGCTATCATGACCACTATGAATGCCCTTGCCGCCTCTTCCGTGGCTGCAGCTGCCTCGTTCTTGCCTGCTCCGGGGGAAGCTATGAAAAGATGGCACCGGTATACCATAGGGACCAGCCAAGCGGCTAGGTCGTTAGGTACTTGGGGAAGCAGGATGTGTCGCTGGTGCAAGGGGTCACACACCACGAGCTCCGTGCCCACTTGGGGTTCGGGATCGCCGGCAAGGAGGACGCGGCCGTCGCGCACGTCCTGCACGATCCAGCGGCGGTGAGAGGGGAGGAAGGAGAAGGTGAAGTCGGCGGCGTGGGCGAGCGCGCAGGCGGCGGACGCGGCGGGGTGAGGCGGGAGGGCGGGATGAAAGCCGTCGCGGTCGAGGATGCCGAGGAGGAGCGGGGCGTGGAGGAGGCGGAAGCGGCGGCGAAAGGAGCCGTCGGCTAGGACTCCGCGGAAGGCGACGCAGGTGGCAGCTGTGCGGGCGAGATCTTCTGGTTCAGGCAGCCGGACGAAGATCTCCGCCTTGAGGTGATCTGGGATTCACATGAGCGACGAGGCCATTTCCTTGCCGGCCGCGAGTGAGGCGGAGGAGGGAGGGTGGTTGGTGGTAGGGGAATTCGAGAGCGGCTGGGGCGGAAGAGGCGATCGCCGGTGGGCGGAGGAGGCGGCCGCCGGGGAACCCTGGTTTTTTGAACTGGAATCGGGATTCGGGAACCCTGGCCGCTGATTTAGCAGGAGCCGGCTGCGTGCTGTGCGGACGCCGCTGGAGGGAGTCTGGAGAGACTGATTTTCTCCTGCTGCCGAAATGGGCCTGTGAAATGGCCATCTTCGGGCCAACACTGCCCATTTACGTTTCTACTTTCAGGCCCGGCACCTCAGGTTTTTTTATTTGCTCAAACAAAAAACTCACATTTTTTATGGAACGCGGCATCTCAGTCAAACATTTTCTTAGGCTATATCCGTTTAACCAAAAGAGCTCCAAGAGTGGAAATTCAAACAATCACTCGTTATTGTCAGTTGCCACCACACATGACACAGCAGCTCCGCTTCAACAACGATAAACAAAGCACACAATCCAGACTGATACATCAGGAAGATATGGGTTAAAAAAATACACTAACAAACCTTCACTACGGGAAAAAACTTATAAGCCGTGTAAAAGACTATACACCGAGATCTATTTTTCGGGTACCCGGCTTACGTTACACTAAGCCGAGTCAAGAAAGAAAAACACCCGGCAACTGCAAAACACCCGGCTTATAACAACCTATAAGCCGAGCTGTACAAAATAGCTCACGGTTTAAAGTAAGCACACGGTATCTACTGGAAAAGGCACTTGGCTTACAGCTCGCAGTCGGCAAAGATACCAGCACTGGTAGAAAAAGAGCCTATAGTCCCGGTTCGTAAGGGCCTTAAGTCCCGGTTCCGGAACCGGAACTAAAGTGTCGGTACTAATACCTCCCCCTTTAGTCCCGGTTCAATCCAGAACCGAGACTAAAGGCCCTCCACGTGGGCAGTGCGCAGAGCCCAGTCAGGAGACCCTTTGGTCCCGGTTGGT